TCTGGGTATGTCGCCTATGCGGTCCGGTGGAAACGTTCCGATGGAATTCCAGAATAATCCCGTCACTTTCGGATTCCAGATACTTTTCACCCGAATATTCGTTTCAACGTCCAGCGCGTTCGAACACTCGCGCCACCTTCTCATTTAATAATCAATTGGACGGCGTTATTGAAAAACGATGGAACGACGAACGAGACCAATTGGCTGTATAAAACTGGCAAATATCGAACAAAAATATAAAATATTTCTCGATTACCTGATTACCGCGAGTGTCAAACGTCTGTTTATAAAAATTACTGGAAAATTGTAAATGTAAAACTGTTACATCGAGGATGATTCGTGACGCACCTTCAAGTTTTATATTTTAACCACTTGCGGACCATAACGAGTGACCGAACCGTATACAATAATTTGTCGCTTTCTTTTTGAACGTCATTGGATAGAAATTATTGAAAAATAATAAATTTATTATTATATTATTTATTTTGCCTGGGTTATACTCAAATATATTTAAAAAGTACACTGAGAAAATATTGCAATTTTGGGGCAAAAAAATTCTCGACGTGCGTGGCACGTCATTCCAGCGTGTAAGAGATTAAATCTCACAACAAGAGACACTTTGATTTACCGATCGAGGAATCTACGCGTTTCAAACGATTCGAAATTTTTATCGACGCAAGTAAATGCATCAATTATTATTACTGTGAGCAAAAGCTGTACGTATTTTGACATTAACGAAATATACTATCGCCGAATGATGTTCAAAATATAGTAATAATAATAATAATAGAAATTACAATCATATAAAATTATTATTATTATAAAATTATAAAATTATTATTATAATAAAATTATAAAATTATTATATAATAATAATCATATAAAATTATTATTATTATAAAATTATAAAATTATTATTATTATAAAATTATAAAATTATTATTGTCATAAAATTATAAAATTATTATTATTATAAAATTATAAAATTATTATTATTATAAAAAAGAAGTAAAATCTACGTATTTCATGTTCATAAAAACTCAGCAATTTCTTTCGTTAAAATTTCCGTCGTTAATAATTTGCGATCGATGCTCCGAGGAATAAAAAAGGCTGTCGGCAAGGTGCTCTTTTTCGGAGCTTGAATAATACAGTATTATTGGTTTCAATACGCGAATAGAATCGGCCGATGAGCGAATTGAACATCCCGAGGTCAAAAACAGGTGTGCGAATGGTGACCCAGTTCCGTAGTGGCAGGAACGATGTAAAAACCTAACTGCCATTTGTCTCTGTTAGCTGTTATTGACCAGCGCTGACGAGTCAATTAGCGCTTACGAGCACTCCTTAATGAAATGAAGATCTGCGCCCGTCATTTTCAACGTTTATCAATTACGCTGTCCAGTAGTTAATCGAATCACCGCTGACAAATATGCAGATGCCAGCCTCTTTCGTCCCCGTTATTAAAATACGTTGTAAGTACAGGTTTGACGAAAGAAATTTTCACAGGCTTAACGTGAGAAATTTTTCACGATCGCGTCACGCGAAATTTCACACGAATAGCTGCTAAAGATAAACAGAAAAATTAAACAGTACGAAGATTCTTTCTTTAGCGAGAGAAATTCTTAATTGAAACGAAACTGAACTTCAAATTCTGGGATTCTGAATCCGGACTGAGGAAATAAATTCCGGATTCCAAATTCGAGCCCGATCGGAAGATGAGATAACTTGATAGGCTGAGAGAAATTCAATGGGATGAAAATTACAGAAGCTCGTACGCGAAACGCGTTGAGATTTCTTTAAATTTCCAACCATTTCGTATCGAAAGTGATGTGACATGAGCTGAAAATAAGAATCATCAATTATTAATTTCGCAGCTTTACGCGAAAAAGTTATAAAAAAAAAAAAAAAAAAAATTCGCGGTAAATTAAAATATTTGCATTGATTAGTCAACTAGTGGGCAAGCTTTCCTCGATGCTGAATATTTTATCCCGCGAAGTAATGAAAACAATAATTTTTCAGCTCAATGCACGCCAGTCCGCAAACATTCGATATCGATTTCTCTTTTTGTTTCTTCTCTTTCTTTTTTTTTTTTTCTTTTATATTGAACATGCAAACGCGATGGAATATCTGAAGATTCTCGACACGTTTTACCAGTGAAATCAATAATTCTAGTTTAGCTTGTAAAAAGGCAGGCGAACTGTCGAAACGTGAAAGTGATATTATTCTAAAAACTGGGTCAAATGCGATATATGGTACGTTTAATGTGGTTTGATCGTCTATCGTATAAATCTACAAGCTCGATAGAGGCGGCATTGACAAAGGGAAAGAAGGAAAAATAAAACTGTTGTTAAATTGTTGTTTATCTTATGCTCGTTGTGCAACTGAATTTTTTCACACGCGGTGTGAATAAATTTTTTAGTACAAAAGATGAAACACATTTTCCAATGAACGGACAGAAACGATAGTTATCGTGTGAACCTACTCCTTTATAGGGTAGGTATTATATATATATATATATATAATGGATAAAAGAGACCAATAGATTATTATCTGTTTTGTTCGTGATAGAAGCGAATTTTTTCATACGTGCAAATAAATTTTTTACAGAAAAGATAAAACGCAATTTTTAATAAAAAAAAAGAAAGAGAGAAAAAGAACAAGAATGATAGCAGCAGAACAGTTCTTTGAAGATAGTATTCGATGTGTTAATAGTACACTGAAATAAAATAAATTTAAGAAATAAACAAATTTTTATGTTATTGTTATGTTACAAATTATTTATATATTATGTATATCATAAATAAATTATATTATATATATTATAAATATTATATATTATAATATATTAATATATATATATATTATATATTATGTATATTATAAATTATAAATTATTGTTATTGTCGTAATATCTAACGATAAAAAAAGAAAATTGGGCACGAGATCTTTTCATACACTTTCGAATGAGTTTTAAACCCTCCATGTTTCTTCCAAACTATTTCCACGTTACAAAACAGGTGTTTCCTCAATGTTCGATCGAATTTGCTCGGAATCTTTTTCAGCGACGAAACTTCCTGCTCCGAAACTTCACTCTCCAGACCGATATCACTTATACATAACATCACTCGGCGAACTAAGTTTCGAAACTTAACGCATTCGATGCTGCGATCGTGTAATGCTGTGTCGTGCTTTTTCCAAAGATCGCCGCGGGAACGTTTCAAGTTTCCACAGTAGCAGGGAAAAGGAAGGAGCAAACTGTGAAATTGTAAATGTAAATGTAATTGTTAAATGTAATTTTAAATGCACTATTGAAAATTCTCGTTTGCACGGTCAACTCTGAGTTGTTCAGTCCCTTCTTACGCACGAGAATTCGACGATTGAAAAAAGGAATTGAGATGAGAAATTTACACGAAATCTGAAATCGAGTTTGTTTCTTTAATTCTTTGATGTCGCGTTCATTCTATTGATATTACAAAAAAAATATATTACACTGGATTTACTAAATTTCTAGTTTAGATTAAATAGACTAAATTTTTATTCAACTGCGTGTAACCTATCCTCAAGCATCTTTCTATGTTTCATACACATTTTATAAGGATCTATAAGGATTAAATTATGGATCTATAAGTGTGAGTAGTACATAACGACAAGTGTGAGTAGTACATATAATCCATTTCTTGGATCAATTTAACCCTTATAGATCCTTATAAAATGTGTATGAAATGTGTACAGATAGATTATGATGTAAAATTGTACTACTCACACTTGTTGTGAGTGGTACATATAATCCGTTCTTAGATCAACTTGATCCTCTTACAGAGTAGAATTTTACATCACAAGTGTAAGTAGTAAATATAATCCACTTCTTGAATCAATTTAATCCTTATAGATCCTTATAAAATGTGTATGAAATGTGTATAGATAGATCATGATGGAAAATTGTACTACTCACACTTGTTCTGAGTAGTATATATAGTAATAGTAGAATCTTACATCACAAGTGTGAATAGTAGATATAATCCATTTCTTGGATCAATTTAACTCTTCTAGATCCTTATAAAATGTGTATGAAATGTGTACAGATAGATTATGATGTAAAATTGTACTACTCACACTTGTTGTGAATGGTACATATAATCCGTTCGTAGATCAACTTGACCCTCTTACAGAGTAGAATTTTACATCACAAGTGTGAGTAGTAAATATAATCCACTTCTTGAATCAATTTAACCCTTATAGATCCTTATAAAATGTGTATGAAATGTGTATAGATAGATCATGATAAAAAGTTGTTCACACTTGTTCTGAGTAGTATATATAGTAGTAGTAGTAGAATTTTACATCACAAGTGTGAATAGTTGATATAATCCATTTCTTGGATCAATTTAACCCTTATAGATCCTTATAAAATGTGTATGAAATGTGTATAAATAGATCATGATGAAAAATTGTACTACTCACACTTGTTCTGAGCAGTATATATAATAGTAGCAATAGTAGTAGTAGAATTAGTAGTAGTATAGTAGTAGCATAATAATAGTAGAATTTTACATCACAACAAGTGTGAGTAGTAGATATAATCCATTTCTTGGATCAATTTAACCCTTATAGATCCTTATAAAATGTGTATGGAAATGTGTATAGGAAAATAACGATGTAAAATTCTACTACTACTACTGCCAATACTACTACTATATGTACTACTACTCAGAACAAGAGTGTTCGTGATATTTTTACACACATTTCACCCATTTCATTTTTATAAAGGTTAAACTGATCCAAGAAACAACGAGTAGGATTTATTCCAAATCACACCAACGAACACGCGCTAACTGCCCCTAACATTTTCCCAATCTACGGTCTATCCAAATGAATCGTCGAGTCCAGAGACCAGAATTGTTGACCTACAAATCACCCTAATCCGTCCCTCTGTCGTTTCATCGACTCCCCCTCCCCCTCATCCTCGAACGACCTGATTATTTTCTCTGATGATGTGCCGACAGAAGCTTTGGAGGATGGGTTCCCGAAGGAGCGGCGCGAGCGGGAGCCGGGCGAATGCTGGGGTCCTGAAGGAACGGGCCAGCATGTCGTTCATGCTGGTGGTCATGTTCTTCGCGGTGTTCGGCTTGATCGTCCTCACGGAGATATTCCTGATCGACGAGAGGCGTGGCGTGGGCGTAGGTGGCACCGGGGCCCTAGGAGGTCACAGGAGCGGACATCGATTGCCGGCTGCGCCCGATCGTCCGGATTACGGGGAAATCGGAGTAAGTACGCAATTAGGACCATCTGTATCCACTTAATTAAACTCGCCGCCGCTCGATATGAATCTCGTGTTCTACTGGTTGTTTCGGATGGCTGGCGCTTCTCTGGCCAGTTGTGGCTCGCGTAGTTTGGTTTAGATAATACTCTGGACTTACGTGTACGTGAAAATGGTAATAAACAGCGTGGAATGAATGGAGGGTTCTACCTCCAAGTAGATAATTACGTTTACTCCAAGCACTAGGTTCGAAGGTTGTACCGTACTTTTCCATTTCTTTGGACATCTTTGCTTTCCTTTTCCAAGTTGTTTTATATTTAACGTTGAAATCGAGAATCTGAAAGCCGCGTATAAGATATCGCGTCTGTTTTTCAGTTCAATATAACATTTATTCAGTCTGTCAAAGATCAGTGTGATATCTATCCTCACAGAGAGTTGAGAAGAATGTACAAAGTTGAAGTTTGTGTTTGAGATAATTTATCAATATCACATACATATAACATGTAACAATATCACATATCTATACATATACTAATAACGTATATATCACATATCTATACATATATTAATAACGTATTGTTATATATATATAACAATACATTAACATATACGTATACCATATAACACATATAACATGTAACAATATCACATATCTATACATATATTAATAACGTATATATCACATCTATACATATATTAATAACGTATTGTTATACATATATATATATATATATATATATATATATATATATATATATATAACAATACATTAACATATACCAACACACGTCATCTATACACACATGTCAGTATTATGTTTATGTATACATATGCTAATCTCACATATTTGGATATGCATGCACCGTTACATACACCAATATCATACACGTATACATGTCAAATATCATACGAGCATCAATTTCAAATTTCCTTCAATCCACACCATATTAATTTGAATCCAATATCATACAAGTATACATGTCAAATATCATACGAGCATCAATTTCAAATTTCCTTCAATCCACACCATATTAATTTGAATCCTTTGCCCTCGACAAACTTTTCTTCGTATCGTCAACCAGCATTACTAAATAAAATGATATAGCATTGTAAATAATCGTTCAAATGGTATTTGACACGAAATTTTTGTTGATTATGTCTTTCCAAACGTGTGACATCGTTTTTAATTTAACCACCTGCGCCTGGCAACAGATTGCGGACCATAACGAGCGACCAGACCGTATACAATGATTCGTCGCTTTCTTTTTCAACTCGTAGTTTTCAATCCCTGGAAAAATAACGTCCTCCACTCATTTTCGAGAAATTTCGTAAAGAAATTTATCACAAGAAATCTAGTTTACGCGAATTATTCCGAATTGTGTGTAATTGTTGAGTGTCAAGTTCATTCAGGACTGTCTTCAGAAATTCCTTTTCTTTCGTTCTTCTTATTATACCTTTCACTCTAGGCGTCTGTTCGAATATTATACTGTTATACATCGCCATTACGTTCATTACAATTATATCAGCAAACGATAAAAAAAAGGAAATCCGAGCTGTTGGCTAGATTCAAGTCGAGCGCAATGGGTTAAATTTCCTCTTCACGTGTCACAGCGTCTATCGTGAAACTGTTAGAACTGTTTTTGTCATTTTTTTTTTTTTTGAAACTGTTAGAAATATTTTTGTCATTTTTCTTTTTCTTTTTGACAAATTTTCTGAAACACCATGTACGCACGTGTGCTTGGAAACAAACGTTGGGAGAAAATTGGTCCGCAGCATTTGGAAACTAGAGGGACAGGAAGTCCTCGCGATTAACCGAGCCACCGATTCGTTTAACGAATTATTTACCGTCGTTCGACGAACCGTTTTCAACGAGCCGGCGCTGTTTATTTCTGTTTTGTTAACCGCTTTAATCGTCATTAGTCGCGTGCAAATATTGATCCGTTTACAACAGTGGGGCATTCCACGCGAACGGAAGAAAAAAAATAGTCCGCCGATTATTTGATCGCCGATCGTGCTGACACGGCCATCGTTTGAGACGATTTGCGAATTTGTGAATTTAGTCGTTGCTACGCGATGGCAAACAGCGACGATTTCGGTGGAAAATCGGATGGCAAAATAAACGAGCGTCACTTTGGAAAGAAACGTGCTCGTTTTTCGATTTCGCGCGCGCGAGAGAGAGAGAGAGAGAGAGAGAGAGATATTTTGATGCGATGTGGTTGAAAAAGAAATACGAGGACACAAGAAACAGACGAGAACAGATGTGATATTTCAAGATTTTTATGGTTTTTTTTTTGAGATTTTTAAGATTTCAAAGGAAACAATTGTATTTGAATTTGTATGTTTTCTTGTGAAAACAGGTGATAAATTTATGTCAAAGGTGTATTGTCGCGTGATGATAATCCAATCTTTCTTCAATTTATTTAATCCAAATCTTCACGAATCCATGTTCTTCTACTCTTTTATTTCCATCATTCGTAAAGATAGGTGACAAGTGTGTGAAGTTTTCTCTAAGTATTGGAGATATTTCTAGTGTGTTTTTATAATTTATTTAATTTAAACCTTCACGCTATGTGATTGAATTCAATATCAGTGTCATCGATATAATTCCTGTAAATGTACATAATATAAATGACAAAAATAATAATCGATATGATAAGGATTTCTAGAAAGACACAGTGAGTTGATCTACAATTCAATAGTAACCTTATTCGTTGAAATGTACGTGATATTACACGTAGTAAAAGAATAAAAAATTGCAAAATTGATGATAAAAAAAAAATCATAAAATTACTACAGATACAAATCTATGAACTTTGAACAAAATTTGCAAAACAAATTGCTCCCAATAAATTAACACATTTCTCTTTATTGATCCTTTGACAATCGTGATAAACACGTAACGATTCATCGAGATTATAATTGATAATTTAACCAATGAAATTTTTATATAAATTTTAATATTTAAATTTTTATATAAATTAATTTATATAAAAAGATATATAGATTTAAATTTATAATATTTAAATTTTTATATAAATTAATTTATATAAAAAGATATATAGATTTAAATTTATAATATTTAATTATTTATATAAATTTAAATTTAAAATATTAATCAATATATTATATTATATATTATATATTATAATATATTATATTATAAATATATTCATAAATTTATATATTAATTTAAAATATTATATTAATATATTATATTGTATTAATATAAAATTTATATATAAATTTATATATTATATTATAAATTTAAATTTAAATTTATCATATTTAATTATTTATATAAATTTAAATTTATCATATTTAGTTATTTATATAAATTTAAATTTATATTTAAATTTTTATACAAATTAATTATAATAAAAAATATATAAATTTATAATATTCAAACTTTTATATAAATTTTATTGCCAACGCTCGAATATGTATAATATACTAGATTCGCGCCTATTAATTTTCAATAAAACTTTATTGAAGTTAATTAACTCCTAGTCAGTTGGTCAAATTAAAAACCACGTGTGTTTGAATTTGTCATTTTCTTTTCCGCTCCTTCGATTTTTTCTCCCAGTTTTTACAATCGACAGACGACATTAACGAGCCGCGTTCGTTAATTTGCCACGCGGCTTTTGTACGAAACGATGCAAACGATGCACACGGATATCAGTTTTGCTGTAACGAGCGAGCGTATAGAAATTATGGTTCCCTGTGTACACATGACACCGCACCGACGCGACGTTCACGATACTTGTTAGTTGAATAACGATAATGTCAGAATCGCTGACAACGTACCAGCGTGTCTTATAAAAAATGACAGCATGCAGCGAGATGTGCGAAAAGTTGATAACGCAGGTTGCTTATCGCGATATTCGTCCACGGTTTTTATGAAAAAAAAAAAAAATATATATATATATATATATATACAAGAATGAGCGTGTATTTCTAACGAGCAAAAAGTCGCAAATTCTCTGACGAATTATATCAATATTAAAATAAGTATTAAACTAATCGTAACAATGAATTAAATGTTAAAATATTGATGTCGTTATTATTAATATTGAAATAAGTGTAATTGTATCGATGAAATCGATCTCGTTGAAATTTGTGAGACAAATTATTTTAATCTTTATGTCATTATAATTGGTTGTATAAATGCTAGAATGATTAACGTTTAATAATGTTGCAATAATATCTAATAATGTTAGAATGCTTTAGCTGGAAATTAAAAGTATAGATTATTTTTAATCTATCTTCCAGATCTGATAAATTTATGATACGATCTTTGATGTTCTAAGCTTAATAATTGACTACAGAGCTTGTTATTTATTTTTCAATAAAACTTTATTGTAAATTTCTGGAAAATTCAATTTACACGGATCTTGATTACGAAGTTCACGGTATTTTCGAGACCGGAAAAATATTTGCAAGATACTGTCACGGTATATATGTCTACATCGAAAACATATATAATAACTTGTTTGAAGATCAGTTTGGAGAGATAATGCTTTTCATTAATTTATTCGTTTAAATTTACCGTTTTTATATTAGTTTCGCGAGTAGATTTCAGACGAATGTCTAAATTTGCAGATATTACGTCGTTTTTCATACAATTTTCAAACGTCCGGACAGAGACCTTGAAATTGAAAAGTCAACTTAAAAAACAAGAAGTTAGGAATTTCAATATTTAACTAGTTAATGGGAAAAGACAGGTTGACCCGATCTTTCAAGTGTAATAATTTCTATTTTTCGCAGATCTATCATTTCCCACGTAGAATCATTTCCATTAAAAACATTATAAATTTTATGATAATTTGCAAGGATTAAGATTGATCAGAGCAGTATTAATTTCTCCATTCGCCCTTTGTTTTCCCAACTTAATTTTCCCTTTAATTTAAAAAGAAACAAGTTGGCATCTACGACGAAAAGACGAATAATTAAATTTGCAAGTTCTTTTATTAAATAGATTAAATTTCAGTTCAATTGCGTGTAATCTCT